AACAGATTGCTACCTTAATTAGAAGGCTATCTATATTCCCCAGAAATTCAGAAGATCATATCTGGAATATGACTATATTTATGTCTTGGTATAGTCTATGAAAAGCGTATGTCTTGGTTTATTGAGTTATTGTATCTAACATCTTATCTACATAAAAAGCTATTGACATAAAAACATATACCATACATAACATAAAAAGTTACTGCTGTCATTCTGAGGATGACAGGATCCTGAGGAATACTTAAGAATGAGCTCTGGGTCCTCCAACCAGGAGAATTCTTTTCCCTGCCCTCAAAGTTTATATAACCTAAATAAAACTTAAAAAAAAAAATAAAAAAAATAAAAAAAATCAGATGTGCTCTGTCCTGGCAGCAAGTTAATTCAGGGAAAATCAGTACAACGAACTGGAGAGAACTTAAAAATAGAATGTGACACTGCTGCATTGACTGATGCATCCAGTTTTGTCTTATCTGCAAGTTAGCTGGCATACCCCTTGTAATGTGTCTGTGGATCTTACTACTCAAAAGACTGTTTTCAAATGCAAATATTTTTTCTGATTTTTATAAGATGGTTAATAGTTGTAGAATAGCTAAGTAAATTCTATAAAATGGTTGCAAAAGTAACTGTAGAATACCAGAGTGTCATGTTGCTACTTGATCAACAATTGTTGTTTGATTGCTTTGTAGTTAAATGTGCTTTTTCTGAGTTGTATTTATTTTACTTGCAGTTGAGAATCGAGTTCGTCCATTAGTACTTGTTGTTAAGAAGTGGGCAAGTTTTCATGACATAAATGATGCCAGTCGTGGCACTTTAAGCAGCTATAGTCTTGTGTTGATGGTTTTGCACTATTTACAGAGTAAGTATTTTTTTTAACGTGTTGAAACTGTCCCTTTTAAGTTCATATTTGTGTAGTTTTCCTCTTTAATAAAATTAAACACCAGCAGGAGTCATCTTCCACACAGAAAAATCTGAAAATAAAAATTTGAATTTCCTTAGTGCTATATTTTTCTTTAAGAAGTGGACCTCTTCTCTGGCAGCAGAGTTTCCACCTGTAAAAAGGTACCAAAAAAAATAAAGTCGATGTATCTGCAGGACACTGTGTAACTATAAAATAAACTCAAGCTCTAGCTAACAAAAATCTGACTTTTAGCAAAGAGAAAAACCTAAAAACTTAAATATAACAATTTCAGTGGGTTTTGGTAGGCTTGGTTTTGTTTTTGTTTTTTTTTCTTCGGTTGGGGCTTTTTTGTGTTGTGTTTTGGGTTTCTGGGTTTTTTTTTGGTTGTTTTTGTTTTTTTTTTTTTATGGGGGTGGGGGGGTTAGATTTTTTTCCAGGGATTATTGTCATCTTTAAGGTGACAGATGTTGAAGACCATTAGAAGTTGGAACATTTCACTGCCAGTGGCAGTATCTTTTCTTACAACTTCAATATATTGAAACTTTGAACATTTGTATGGAGCTGGAGGGCTTTACCTGAGAAACTAAGGATCCCTGTTGAGAATTGAAGAAATCCATGCAGTTGAGAAATGTTTTTGAGGAACAGATTGAAATGAGCTAATCCTCCTGTTTCTTTCATTCATTAGAGGAAGTCCATGTTTGTGACTTTTGTAGTTTGCAATTCTTGATTAAGACTTAAGGAGTCATTTAAGAAATCATTTAGCTCAATATGAGTTTCTTCGTTGTTTATTGGGAGATAGGTGGCTTCAGAAGGGAATGCAAGGACCACCTGAAGTCTACATCTTGTAGAGTAATGTGCCTGTTAGAAGTATTTTCTTAATTCCTGTCAGTTCATGTATAGACTGTGTATTTTGTAGAATGAATACAAACAGCATCTTTGTTTTAATTCTTTTTGTAATGTGCTGATTATTCTTGTTCGTGTTATTTTTAAAGACAACAAGTTCTTAACATTTTATGATTATATCTGTGGACAAATTGCATAGACTTTCATGTTAGACTTTTTTTCTGTGTCAATTTGTGTAGGTTTTAATTATTTTTTTTTTTAAATCAGGTAGAAACAATATTTAGCTCCTCTGACAGCTTGTTTGGCCTGGAACATAGATACTTGCTGTAGAGTGGATAGCCAACTATTTATTAGTTTCAAGATCACACTACACCCACTCTGTACTAGAGTGGAAAGCTTTTTATGATCATTAACTCAAGCTGGTGGCTTGCTTGAGCTGAACAGTCTGTGTAGTAGAGGACCTAGGAGGTCATTTTGTGTATTTGAGATCCAGTTGGCTGGGTTACTTTTGAATTCTTTGATGCCCATACTGTGTGCTTGTTGTTAATATACCAATCATGAGGACAATAGGACATAAGCTAGTCTATCCAGTGACTGTGGTTTTTTCCTCTATGTCTACTATGGTGGAATTCCATAAATTTCTTTGTTTTTGTGGAAAGAAAAATGTGGCCGAGTGTGACAACTCTGAAACCATACTGTGGATGACTGACTACTTCAGTGTAGATCCTTAATACACACTGGGGAGAGAGGGGAAAGAAAAAAAATCAATCAAACAAAAAAAATATTGATTTGGAGGAGATGAAATGACAATGAACTTAAAAATGCCAAAGAGATTATTACATCAAGACTGAAAATGTTGGGAACTACTGGATGTAAAGATTGCTATGCAAAGGTGAAGCACAGGCAGGGGAGGAGAAAAAGTATCTTTACATGATCTAGGAATTAGTGGCCATCTTAACAGTGGCTTCATAAGGATTTGATAGTCAGCATTACCCTTTTAATGGAAACAGACCTTTTCAGTTGGAAATTTATTCTCCAAATATATTTTCATTGTATCAGTTACTCTGCAGACTTGTATAGGGTGCAGCATGCAGCCATGGATAGCCAGTTACTGAGGTGTGCATAAAAGTAATACACAAAAGGGAAGAGAGTAGGAGTTACAAGGAAGTATAAATATGTAGGCTTGCCACAATGTTAGCAACCCTGCAAGCATGAGGGCATTTGCTGTAGACATCCATGGCAGCTGCCACGGCTGTCAGGGGCCGGGAGGGGGGAAGTTTAACTAATCTTTTTCATACAAAACTGTAATCGGTCAGCTGCCTAGGAAAGATCAGCAGTCCGCAAACCAAAAAGGATCGTTTTACCTGTGCTTCATCAGCCTTTTCTGCTAAAGGCGGCTGTCTGGACATGTATCTAGCACCAGCTGTTTAGGTCCTGATGTTTTATTCAAGCAGATTTTAGCCTTTTTTTTTTTTTTCCCATTTCTGCTGCATGAATGTGATGCTACTGAAAGTAGCTTGTGTCCCAGTCACAGAATTTCTAATAGAGCTTTTGTTGATGTTACTGGGGGGGAGGGGGGGAGATCCCTTTTGCAGTAAATAGTGTCCCTGTCTTCACTAGGTGAATTTCTTTCCTTTACTACTTAATCCATTTCCATATTATTATACTCCTGTGGATGTCTTTGCACCTCAGGTTAGTGTGGCTTGAGTTTATTTTGTAGATACGTCGGTGTCTTGTACATGAACTTTCCTCCAGGTAACAGGTCCAACTATATTGTACAGTAAGAAAAGGAAAACTCGTGATAATGCTAGTGGTCAGTGGTAACTTTTTTCTCCTTAGCTCCATCCTCTTACTACAGCATACAGACCCAGATAAAATATCTTCATTGCTTGTATTGCTCAGGTTTTGTTGCCTTTTATTTCAGTGTGTCAGAGAACTGGAAATTATCCAAGATCTTGCAGAAATAAGATGCTATTGCATATTTCTAAACACCCACAAACAAAATAAAAATATTATTAAAGCAGCTTTGATCATGTTCTTAGCAGTCCTGCTAGTTAATGTAGTATACTCTTTGAAGATATCCCAAGCACATTCTGAGAATTCTGCTGTTCTGATTCTTAGTCCCTAAGCAAAAAGGATTCTGTAACATCTCTTCCCCTGTAAGACCTTGTCTGAAGGGTGAATTAAGTCCCAAGTCAGTCCTGTGTGCTGAATTTAATTATCATTCTCTCTAGTGAATGATGTAGACCTGTTGTTTAAAAAAACTTGCTGAAGACATGATGTTAAAGCTTTAGTGTGAGGAGTGCTCTAAGTTCTATAGCTGCTCTAAGGCTTGAGTGGGATGTGAATATTTTTAGATATTTATTTGTTCTATCTTATTTGTAGGACCACCTAACCTGGGAGATAAGATTCCCCCCCCGCCCCGTTATTTGTATTGTGCAATAGATGGTCTCCTCATCTATGACTTTCATAAAAGTTTTAATTGTTTTGTTCATCTTGTGTTTGTTAGTATCACTAATGTCTACATAATCTTTATAACCTGTTTGACATTTAGTAGACCAGCTAACAATGTTAGATGGTATTTATGTATTTTATGGGATTTTGCTAGTGATGCCTACTAAGTGTGTTGGGCATCTTATCTTTAGGTTACTTTTGGAGACTCAGTATGTAATAACTGCAGCTGAAGAATGTGTACTTTTGCGGTATCTGGAGACTTCCTATGCTGTGATAGAATCATATTGTAATAGATGTAGGGGAAAAAAAATAAAAAAAGAGTAAAGCTCTGATTTTTTCCTTTAGGAAATCTAGGTGAGTTTCTTATAGCCATGAATTAACATGACTTTTAAAAGTGAAATCACACCCAGCTGCTGTAGAATTTTTCAGCTTCCCTTAGCTGAATTAACTCATTATACTACTATATACAAAATATAGGAACAGAAAGATTTGCTGAATAACTTCTGTTTTACAAAATGCATGGAAGTGAAGTTCCTGATAGATGTTTTTAAGGTGGAATTTCAGTCCAACCCTTTGGTGTAGTTGATATCATATTGTTTCCTGTGAATTACATGAATCACAGCAACTTTAAATTTTTTTTTTATAGCCCTACCTGAACCCATCCTTCCATCCCTCCAAAAAATTTACCCAGTAAGTGTTTCTTATGAATTTACTACCTCATATATATATATGAAGCTGTTTATCTAAAATACATGAATTATTAAATAACTCTAATAGATTAAGTTAAACACAGTGTGTAAGCCTGGTCATTGATACACCAAACATAAGTGTGAAAAAGGTTATTTGCTGCTTTTGATCATTTATTTAGTGAAAACAGTCTGTTATATATGAGATTTCACACAGAGTTGGAAATGAGTGCTAATGAGAGCTGCTGACCTAATTCTCTTTATGCTGGCCTGAAAATATCCCTGTGTCATCTATAACTTTCTGATTCTTACTTCTTAATACGTTAAGTAGTGTTTTTTCCATCCAACTGTGGTGTTTTAGAATTCCATACCTTCCCATAGCTGTGGAGTTGCTTGATATTTCTGGGTGCAGGGAGTGAACAATATGTGTTTACTAAGGAGACTTTTGAGACCTCACAAAATTTGGGCTTCAGTCCAACAAAACACCTTTTTGGGGCTTTGCTGTTACGTCCAGATCATACTCTGTTGATTTCCAGAGAACTCTCTGAATCAGTATGCTTTGATCCTCTGCAGAATTAGAACTGTAATTAGTGAGACTTAATCTAAGGAAGATTACCTAGAATTAAGAGCTACACTCCTAAATACTTGTCTGGGGAAAAAAGAACTATTGCTGAATAGTTCTATACTATAACTTACTTACAGAAATTCCTCAGCTCTGTCCTCTTTACCTTTCCTCTCACGTGTCACTTTTAAAATTTTTCTTCAGTCATAGTTGCCATAGTTCGGTGTCCCTGTCTATGTATGTTTTTTTATTGTTGCTAATAATTATGCTGAGGTAGTATCAGAAAGCCATTCTTTTGCATGTATTTCCTATAATGCTGAAATGAGAATATTTGATGACACTGTACATCAAGGAGTGTCAGCCACTTTGGGTAATTAGGATAATCGAGGTGCAGAAAAAAACTTTGAGCTACAGTACACTGCAGTCTTATTTCTGTTTTGTAAACCTGCTTAGGCATACCTGTGCTAAATTTTTATGGTTTTTATTTTTTCCTCTGAAATTTTTTATTGTACTATATACTTTGTAATTTCTTCTTCAGTGTTACTGCTTAAATTAATTTGAAGCTGTTTTTCCGTTTCTTGTACACTTAGCTTTATCTGATGGGTTTTTTGAATTGCTAGATTTGCAAATTATGTTTCCTTAAAGCTCATATGGTATAGTATTTTAAGTTTTGTGTAGCATGTAATTTAAAGAAAACAACTGTAAGAATTATTAACTTCTAGCTTCTTTGTAATAATAATGCAAGTGTTTATATTTGTAATGTTTGAACTGTGTAAAGGTCTTCAGAGCACAGCTGTTAATGGCTTAAATGATTAAAGCAGAAGTATACAATACCATAAGCTGAAAAATCTAATAAAATCTTGCATTTAGTACAAATTAATCTTGTGTATGTGAAAGTGGTAAGTCACTTGCAGATTCCTGTGTTTCTAGAACTGCTGTAAAAATAGCATTTTTTACTCTCTTTCAGTGTGGATTGTTTTTGTTGTTATCTTGCCTTTGGAGGATGGACTCAATTCTAGGATTGCTAATAAAATAAAAAGAATCTTTTGTACGTGCTAACTATAAAACCAAATCAAAACTGTGGATTAAGATTTTTAAAAAAGATGCTATAAATTTGCAAATATATTTTTTGGTCTGCTGTTTCCATTAGGAATATAATTAAGTGTTTAAAAATTGTGGAAGTTATAATTTCTGAATACTGATATTGCAAAGAAATTTAAAATGAAAATGAGAAATACACCAAAACAATTCTAGTCTTGTAGCTTGCAGTAACAATTACAAAGCACAAGCAAGTATCTGTATCCAAAGAAACCATATGTTTTTCTTGCGGTTGTAGCTGGTCAAAGCTGTGTCTTCATCCTAATACTACACATAAATACTGCTTCTGCCCTTCTGAAACAAACCACCCTACCTACAATTTTTCAAAATCAGATCTGCAGCTCTTTCTGCAGCCTGACAATACTTTTGCACTTTGAAGGAAACTGCCTATTTTAAATTGTAGGTGACATGTGAAAGAGACATGCTTACCTTGAGTGAGAAACAAGAGGCAGATTCTGTGACTTGGTATATCCCTACTGCAGATGCAAAGGATGAGAAGTCCTGGAAAGCCACCAGATGTGCCTATATGTGCATTCTGTTGCTGTGGGGGACTCTCCAGCTGGCACTGAGCTGATGTGTTTTGCAACCACTAGTTTAGAGCGAGTATTGGACCATATGAGATGTGGGGTTGGATTGCGGGGTTTCCTGCCTCTCCAGCCAGATGGGGTAGATGAGAGTAGCCCACAGAATGTATTGATCAGTTCTGAAGTCTGTATAGAATTTGCCTCCAAGTCAGGACTTTTACAGATGAGCTCTGGAGAACCTGTGGTAGCTTAGGCCACTGTGGCTTCTGGTTGTTTTGCCTGCCTGTGTGTTTCCAGAGGTGAACATTGCTGCAACTGGGAATCAGAATGGAACATGTGCCTGAGTCTCCAATGTTCAGAGCAACCTGGCATCTTAGCTTAAATCCAGATGGAGGTGGGTCTCCATAGTGGTCTGGATTGTGAACTTCATGGACTCTAGCATGAGCACGTTTTTGTTTCTGCTGCCTCAGCTTCACAAACAGTCATATCTTGCAAAGGGTGGGGCAGAAGATGGGATGGTGCTTACTGTAGCTCCTTCATGCAGGGGAGTCAGTCCTTGGATAGACACAATTTGCTTCACTCTGAGTTGCATTTTTTAAAAGTATAAGCATTAGTTAAATGTTCATTTAACTAATGAACTTCATGAGACTGGGGAAGGGATTTTATGTATATGAATATAGATAGATATCAAAAATGGCAAGGTACTATGCCGATGTTACCACTGTGAACTTTTTTGAGGGAAGAATCTTATACAGTCAGAGTTAAACTCATTACACATCAAGACAGTCAAACGTATAGATTTTTTTTTTTTGTACACTTGTGTTCCTTTCCACTGTGGAAGGTGGAATGAGAATATGTGTAAGCATAATGTAGCTTGAACATGAAGCGTGTTGTTGAATGCTGGTGTTTCCTTGAGAAATCAGCCAACTGAGGTGAAGATTAGAGATCTAGCAAAAAAGGAAAAAGACTTTGGAGTCCCATTTTCTGGGGCATTTTGAAATAATGGTTAGCTCATTTATACTTGTTGCTCAATCAGAGCCTGAATTTCTCTTCCATTTCATAAGATGAGGCATGAGGCAAAGACACAGCAAGCAAATTAGGGACTAGTTTTAAAAGAAGCTGAATGTTTTGCCTTCTAGAGCAAGTTAAGAAGGGAAAGCTTACAGGGAAGGCCTACTTGAAACTAAGCTAGTTTGAAGGATGCTTTGTAATTCTGTTTTGTTACCAGCCTCCCTTACATGTAGAATCTATAAGCTGTACCTTGTTCTGTTTATCTGGTTATTCCCGGAGCCCCTCTGACAGGAAGAAAAGTAGTGTTATCCCTGCTTTACAATAGGTGAATGGAGGTGGGTTAAGGCTAATGGATTTTCATGGGTTGTCTGTAGCAAAGCAGAAATTTGACCCTAGGTATCCTGTGACTGGTCTGACCTCTTGTTCACTGGACAGTAAGTGATTGTTTTGTTAAGAAATTAAACAAATTACATAGTTGGTTATTGATATATTGAATATTAGTATATCTTGACAGAAGTTTTCATTAAATTTTCCCCATACCCAATTTTAAGTAATAATTAATTTGGTTTTACATGTAAAACTTTATAATCTGGTAATAGCAATTTCTTCCATAACAAATTTTCTCAATTTCAGAAAGATGAAACACTTTTTTTTCCTATGTGTGGTAATCAGCAGCTTGCCGTGTTTAAAAAAAAAAAAAATTGCCTAACAGTATCAGAAACATGTGATTAATAGTTTGCTTTAGTTAGTGTAAAAAAAAAAAAAAATTCTTTGTTTCTTCCAGAAAAATAGTTTCAACCATGCTTTCTGTTGTGCAATACTTAGTTGTCTTTTAAGAGTCATTTTCATAGTGGTATAACCACTAAAGCAAGTGGAGATGGGAATTAATTAGACATGTGTCTCTTAAACTGGGTGACTGGGTTTTTTAATGGTTTGCTGCTATAGACAGTAACTTGCATTTTTACTAGAGCACTTGTGTAGAATAATATGTGTTTATTTTTTGAAGGTAAATGCCTTTTTAAGTAAGGAAAATTTTGATTTGCCTAACCTTTGAGGCAAGTGTACTTAATATACATGGTAAAACTTGGACCTGCAGGTTTCATTAAAGTGAACTTCCTCTTGAAAAAAAAAAATTAAACATTGTAATTTTAGATTGCAGAATTAAAGAGTTTTAATCCTAATTACTAGATGAAGATTTAGAAGATTGCCTTCTAGTGCAGGTTAGGAATTTTATCTCTTCTGCCATGGGTGGGAATCTTTGGAATGTAGTATGTTTCCTGGTCCTCAAATGAGGAGTCTTTCAGTTTTATCATTGCTGCTTACCTGACTTTTGATCAGTTGCAATCTTAGTGAAGAAACAGACAAGCTAAATATCCTGAAAAATGCCTTCATGTGGACTATGCTTCTTTGGATAAAGTTGTATTTGATATCCTTTTGCTTTTCCATTTTTTCTGGATGTAAGCATACACACAGAGGCACGCATGTATTCTTTTTTGCCATAAGTTTTATTACAACTATATCTGATATATTGTCTTTTGCTATTAGTATATCTGTTGATTTATTTTTTTCTTATTCAAATGATGTGTAAACACTAATAAAAATTAATTAGTTGTGATTAATATATAAAACATAAATAAAACGTACTTAGGGTCAAGATTGATAAGAAAATGCAACATCCTTTCTAAACTTGTAATAGTGCTAAAGAAAATAGCTTATTGTTATTCTGAAAAATAGTATCCCAAAATCTAACTTTTTAGCTGCTCAGGATGCCAGTCTCACTGATGGCCGATTTTTCTTGCAGTTGAGAAGTTCCCAGGCATTTGAACATTCAAAGCAAAAAAAAAAAAAAAAATTGTTCTCCTTTTCAAAAATGTCTGCTGCTGCCAAAAAGTTACTTACTAGTCTCAGTAGATGTCTGTTGTAGCAATTCATTGCATTTCTATTTTGTATTGTTTGGAGCTAAGCAGCCCTTGTTCTCATTCCTTTTTTTCTTCCTCTTTGCCTGTTTCCTCCTGAGCTGTTATACTGCTAATACTAAATTTGTTTGTTATAACTCTTCTACAGCTTTCTATGGGAATGGACAAGAGTTGACTTTCACTCTAGTACCTGTGTGGTTAACTTTAGAGATAAAACTGTATATACTCTATAACATAGGAGCAACTGTTCTCCTTTTACATCTTTATATGCTGCATATCTGCTTTTTATATCTGTCTGTCTCCATGTTTTTGGTGTGTTCTGTTGGATTGTAAGCTGTTAAATTCTGAGCTCTGCTAGCTATGATTATATTTTGTATGCAAAATTATATCATGTGAGAACAAGACTTTAAATTTTTCATAGCTGGAATAATGGCCTTTTTTCCCAGAAGGTGTTGCCTGAGGTTCCAGGAAGTTTTGCTAGAACTGGCAAAAGAGGATGGGAGTCCCAAACTTTCCAGTCCTACTGGCTTTACTGCTAACCATGCTTTTCCTCAGAGAAGGCACTGCCAGCTGTGAACATGGAAGTAGTATTATAGTGTGTAGTGCTTCCAGTGATATTCTAGTACTGTAAAGTTTGAGTCATGCCTGATACTGCTCTTTAAAATAACAAAGGAGTGGGAGGGGAGTAATGACTGAATAGGCCCCTAAATATTCATAGGTGTATTTATGTGAATGTAAAACTTGCTCTTGTCTATCTTGGGTTCATTTTCCTTAAAATACACAACATTGCTGTAAAATGTAGTATCCTGATATTACCAAGTTTTAAAAATTGTTTCTCTAGCAAGAGAAGATATGTTCTCCTCCATGTACCCCAGTCTCTCAGAAGAACCTAAAGGATGCAATGGACACCAAAACACTATAGCAGATCTAAACCATGTAAATTTAGTCTTGTGTAGATTCCTTTTTAAGCTGGCAGTAGTGACTTTTGTCTATAGCAAACCTGACTCTTTCTCCCTCCCCACAAGGAAAAGCATACTTCAGCTTTAATGCTGTATTCTGTGTATTCAGGTCCTTTGTATAACTTTTTTTTTTTTTATTCTTTCAGATAGGTTGGCTAGAGGAGGTGCTGCTGCAGTCTGTGAACTCATTATGTGGGAGGATGCAGGTTCATATTAGAGCCAGTGGGTTTCATATGCAATTTTAACTCTATGCTGTGGGAAAAATAAGTCAGGCCTTCCTTTTGGATTGTTTCGGTACCACAGTTATGGGAACTTGGAGATAAGTGCATTAGTTTCACCTACCCTATCTCGGTTCAACTGCAGCCAGCTCAGTGCAGGCTGCCTTACTCAGCTTCTGCTTACGTGGTTTTACTAGCACGTAAACAGAAGTCCAGTTCAAAGATTCTCCCATGTTAAAGTTCCTCAGCAAACAGAAGGCAAGGGATGGTCTTGGATGTTCCTGTGCAAGATGATTCTACCTGAGTTCAGGGGAAGTAACTAGTATCCAACAGAGGAGCACAAGAGAAATAGAGTCCTTTGCTTGCAAGTTATCCTTGAACTTCTAATAAGCAAATGATACGCAGGTTTTTTATTGTGGAAAAAAATGCACCTAGATTAAATTAAGGCTCTGTGTGAGTATATATATACTCTCTGGTTTTATTTTGACAGGAATCTTTTGATCCTACTATGCAGTTGCATCTTGTTCATCAAACTCCATGTACCATTCCTGCATACCTCTCAAAAAACGGATCAAGCCTTGGAGATTTGCTAATAGGCTTCTTCAAATATTATGCCACAGAATTTGAGTAAGTAATAACCTCATCTTAGTGTTTTAGACTATGCAAAACTTTGATTCCATCTATTTAATATATCAACACTTTATAACCCTTGAAGAGAAAGTATAGCAGTAATGCCGGAGTGGTAGCTGACAGAGAGGAAATGGGTGAAAAAACTAAAGGACAATAGGAATGCAGTCTGACATCTTTTGCTTAGCCAAGCATCCTATCCTGTAAAATAGCTGCCAGAAGTTAGAGAGCTTTGTCCTTTAAAAATAGCTGGGTTTTGTTATATTACACTATTCTAAAATAGCCTATCAATGTGTGAGAAAGCAAGATGTATTCTTCTTAGTTGCAGTTTAAGGTGTTGATTGTGATATGAATTATTTGGACCTTAATGGTTGCACTTTTCTGTCACCCTGAGTCAAGGGAGGTAACTGACCGGGTGGCTCTTTACTTTGACTATACCATACAACAGTATAGGCCACGCCTAGTGAATAATTCTCCCATATATAGTTGGCTTGCTGACCTTGTTGGTTTACTAGAATCTAAGTTTAAATTTGGCATCTGGACTTTCTTGTAGAAGAGAAAGAGAAGCTAAAGTTGAGAGCATCTGTGAAAGCTGTAGATTACAAACACTTTGCCAAATTGTCACTTGAGAAATTCTTAGGAAAAGTGCTTGTCCATATAGAATATCAAATGGTTGCACTTCAGTAAGATTAAAGATCTTCTAAAGAGCTTGTTTCTGAGGCAGTTGGTTCATACATGTTGCTGTCCTGTATATGTGCATCATATCCATTTCCTGGAAGGAGAACAAAATATGTAACTACTGGATACTCATAATTTTTGAAGTGTTCATATTTAGCTTCAATGTAAGAAATGAACAATCATGAAATTCTTAAAAGAAATCGTCACTGGAGTGTTTACCACATGTGGAATATGTAAGCTAAATCCATATGGCCTGTGGCAATTCATCAACTAATTGTACTTTGTGCATGCTTAAGCCTGATTCTGAGAGATTTTCACATAAAAGATTTTCCTTCAGCGATCTCTGTAAATAAGGGAATCGTCTTTTGTCCTAAAAGTTTCTCCTGAATACCTGCCTTTTCAACTGGCAAGGTACTGTTTGCTAAACGGGTAAATCAGAAGACACTGCTAGAGGATATCCTGAAGTTCCTAATAAGGGACACTAGATGCATCCTTTACTGCTTGTCTGTACAATGACCTGTTAATCTTCTCATATAGGAAAGTACTTCTTTTCCACTAAGGAAGAAGTTTCTGGTTTGCCTGTGCAAACTAGTGGAGAAGATCTTGAGCAAATGCAGGAAAAATACCTAATTTGACTTTTCTGGTTTGGGTGCTTGTGACAATAGTCGAGCAGATTTCTGCATAAGTCTGTAGCTGGTCCAGAAAGACTCTTTTTTTTGTCTGCTGTTAGACATGTAGAATATACTAAGAAGTATGACAACTAAAAATGCTGCAATATCAGTACTTGAACTGATGGTAATCCCTGAATTTTAATTTTTGTGATGATCATAAATGAGGAAAAAATGTTACTAAAATTTACTCGGAGAGGCACAGGGGAGCTTCTGGTTAAAATAAAGCTTGAAAAAGTGCACAATGAAGATAGGATAGTTGCTGACGTCAAGGGAAAAAAAGATTTTAAAAAAAAAAAAATATCTGGCTTGTTTTTCCAGTGTTAAGTACCTCTTAAGTATTTAAATATTTGAGTGGTAATATTCTGTTATAAAATAGCCATTAGAATTCCTGTGTTAAAAATGTTACATAGCTGAGAAGTCATATCAGGAAATGATGCACCTAATGCAGCAACCTATATTATTTTTAACTCTTCCTGCTACAGAAATAAAATGTAGTCAGCTGTACTGTTTACTTGACCATCTGTGTATCCCTGATAACTGTAAGTCTTGTTTGAAAGGAGCAGGGTGTGTATCTCAAATACTAAAATTCCATATAGTTTCATAAAACCTGGTAATTGGCTGGAGAAGAGAAACCCAAATAAATGCCTATGTGGGGGAAAAGGCAGGCAGAACATTGTGTTTAAACATTTTTATGTGTGTGATAGCCAGCCAAAGAGAGCAAGTATAGTGTCACACTATCCCCAGTATCTGTTATCTTTGCTTTGAGGTTGCTGATGGAAGCAACATTATAGGTAGAAATGAGGATAAGAGTTAAATACACACAACACAGGGCTGTGTTAGTTCTGCCTTTCATAGAACAACTAATATTTTATTCCTGAATGTGTTGAATATTTTCATTGCTCTAATCAGTGTTTTTTTCAGTGTTTGCTTTCCCTGTAAAACATTTACTAGTGTTTTTATGCTCAGGAATTTTGAGATTATATTTCAGGTACCACGACTATTATGTTAGGTCACGTTTAGACGACTTGTCCTGTGACAGTGACTTTTCACTACTGAACCGTAATGCATTTGATGAGAAGATTACCAAAGTGAATACTACTTCAGTTCTCATAGAAGTGACTTTTGTAGATTTCTATCTATGGATTAGGACACCACACTACCAGGTTTGGTACACAGGATCTGTTTTGGTGAAAGAACAGCATGCAGTCAAGAATGATCAGATCATGTGTGAAGATCGTAATTTTGGACAGAATGAATCATTGACGCCACCTGCCTGGAATGCTTAACTAATCAACTATTTTACACGTATTGGTCAGGAAAATGAAGAGAAGATGGAGATACATTATTTTAAACTTCCCCCTCAGTCTAGCAAAGGCCAGTAGGTATTTCAGTTAAAATTAATATTTTATTTTACTTGATGTAGTGAATAATATTTCAGGGCAGGATGGGCCCAAAGAGTAGGGTACAAAGGAAGAAACAGGAGTGGCACAAAAGCAGAAACAGGCGCCTTGCATGCTGTACAGCCATGAATAAGTTCATCTCCTTGTGCTGTGGGGTTTTTCCCTGTATGCTTTTAATCTGCTTTGTATATTTAGACTATAAGCTGTTTCAGAAAATTGCTGATTACCATGTATTTATGTAGTGCCTATTCCACAGTCCTGCTCTGGGATTTTCAGTGTGTCCGTAGAAGTAATTTTTATCCCCCTTCATAAGTTACCAGAGATGTGATTTGGAAATTGCTGCATGTATTGGATTTATACATTACATATGGCAAAGCTTGATTCACTGACATGGTTGTATAATTAGCTTGCCATAAGCATTCAATTCTGTGTAATGTTTCTCATGATACAGCTGGGTAAAAGTATGCTTCTAACTTCATTTTAACTTTTAAGTATTTCAAGCTATCAAAGGTCTGCTGATCATGCAGTGAATGCAACCAAGTGAAAAATATATGGAGATGTTCTCAAAAGAAGGTATTTGGAAATTGGTCCGTGTTTACCAGGCCCTCTGAAGAGCGTGTCTGATTTCATTTCTGCAGCTGCTGTGAGTGAAGGCAGCAGGTTTTCACTTGGCTGTCTCTTTACAAAGTGAGACCTTGAAGCAAGGCCTTGCTACCCTGAAGTTACTGCTAGGGAACCTAGAAATTGTCCTTTGGGACTGGACTTGTCTTAAATGTATTGTTTCAAGTTAATGTAGCAGTTGTTTAAGATCATTCACTAAATTGTATTTGGTGGACATGATAAAAGAGTGGTTACGTTACTGTGACAAAATGCAGTTGGTCACACCTTTCTTCAGGGTACAATTGGTCAGGTAATAAAGGGATCATTTTTTAATAGTATATAGTATATTTTATGTTCAATATAGTAGTATATTGAATTAAATATTCTTGCAACTTGTTGTAGTGTGTTTAGGCAAGTGGCTTTGGCTTATAAGAACACTCTGGAAAAGATAAGTTTTTTTAATCTACTTGTAGTATATTCATACACACTTACACCTGGAAATACCTGGTCTTTTTCTTTCAAATTCTTGCCGTCTCCTTGACGAGCACATACTTAATGTGGGCAGTGACACCAGAAATAACTGATAATTGAAACAGCTGTTTAAATTGTTATTGTTAACTTATGGATTGAAAGTGTGTATGCAGAGAGTACTTGCTTTGTGTTCACAATAATGAAGTTACAATGTGCAAGCCAAAATGGTTAAAATTGATACACAAATCATTTGCTATTGGCAATTCATTTTTAATTCAGGCTGATTTTGGTACTAAGGTAGGGGTAGTGAAGGTTTAGTAAGATTATTAGATAAAGTAGTTGTTTTCAAGTTTAAATAGCTGGAAATCTCACTTTTTTGTTGCTTTTTGCTAAACCAGTGTATTATAAAAGCATTTATTTTTTGCTGAAGAATCAAGCCAAGTATAACCTAGAGAAAAAGAAGTCATGAGAAGAATTACATGTTTGAAGTGAAACAATACTGCCTGCTTTAACCAAACACAGATCAAATACTTTGTTGCATGACTGTCCCCATTGCCCCCACCTGGATCTCTGATTTTTAAATAAGCTTTTAGAAAAATCGGCAGAGTTGGACTGTCTGCTTCTGCTTGTGACCAATGCTCTGGAGCTGCAGGTTAAGCTTCTTTGATGCTCTAGTCACATGCTTTTTTTCTCTTGTCTTTTTTTGTGTTTGGGGTGTGGTTTTGGGTTTGGTTTTTTTGAGCAATTCCTCTGAATTTCTTGTTAAGCTTGTGTTGATGGTGGTTTATTAAAAAGAGATGATAGGAAAGTGTTTGGCGCTTCACAATATCTCTAATTCTTGCAAAAGTTGTCTACTATAGAAATTAAAGAGAGGGAGAGTGATGGATTAGAATGAAAGCTTTAGTTTGCATTGAATGCTAGAAATGATCATCACCTGTACTGATTTTCTAAAGAATATATCAAGAGGAAACTAAATATACACTGCAGTGGGTGAATAAGTAATCTGGGGTATCCTAAACTATGCTTCATACGCTGTGTCCTGCACTTTTTTGAAATAGGCCGTATTCATATTCTTAAATAGAAGAATAGTGTACATGTTTTATAGAAGTACAGTTATTCAAACATTTGACTTTGTAAGTGGTTTTAATCATGTGTTCTATCCAGGATAATTCATAGAATTATAGGCATGGATTTTTAGCCAGTGTAAACTGTCTTATCACCACTGACTTAATGGAGTTACGACAGCTGATCTGTGGCCTAGGGAGCACAGAGTTCTTCCAAATTTAACTGATGAATTATAGACTGTTTTTTGATTTACAGTGGATATTTACAGATTTATTGAAAGTGGTTGATGCACCCAGCCAAGCTCTGCTCTCTTTGCCTTATGTCAAAAGATTGATTCAGTCCGAAGATCACTTCAGGTATACATAACAGCAGTACAGCTAGCAGCATGCACCCCAGCTATTTCTAAGCCTCATTTAGTCAGGGCATATGGTGACGCATTGTTGGTGATCCAGGTGTTTTGCTGATATGGTAGTTCCCCAGTTTACTTAAGAGCGGCTGAAAACTGGCTGGGTAGGTAAGAACATAAATCTGCAAGTGGTTGCTTTGGCTTCTATTACGTTTGGCATATTGTTGTGCCAAGCATTATAAAGATCATAAAGATGCTTGGCACGTCGTAAAGATTGCCCTGTAAACTGCCTGCTGTTCCTGTTTCAGAGTGATCATTTCGTATGGTTTTGTTATTGTAAAATTGTGTGCAGAAAGCAATAGAATATCTTTAAACGTGTATTTGAGTTGTTGCCCTATTGTTGCACTTGTAGGAGATCTAAAATTCAGCATGTACAAAGTGTTAGTGCTTTCTAATAATACGTTCCTTGCACCAGGAATGCTGACCTGTAAGCAAGCTATCTTTATATATCTTTATATTGTTGAATACTTTTTAAAATGGAACGCAGTATGTGACTTCATCTGCACTTAAACTCCTTACATTCCTTTTCTCCCAGCAGAAAAATCTGAAAGATAAATTTGAGGCTATAATTTCTTTTGAACTTAGAAATAAATGTAGGTGTCCATATTCAAGTTGACATTGGTTTTTTAAAAAATTATTCTGCTGTGTTACTCCTGGATACCTGTGGTGTTCTCTTTTGCAGATGTTTTCATAAACTTTTCTTGTTTCCTACCCATCACTTTTTACTCTTGTATACTGAATTATGAAGATTAGACTGTTAGACTAAATTACTCATTATTATAAAGTACTGTGTTATCCAGGCTTATGACATAGCAATTTGACAATTTTTTAGTGTAAATTGATATTACTAATAAGAATTAAAAGTTCTGCAAATTGTTCTCCTTTTCCCTAGTTGGAGCCGTCAAATGATTTCAGTTCGTGAGGCCAAAGCTATTCCAAGACCTGATGGTACTGAATGGAGAAACAAGTTTATTTGTGTAGAAGGTAAAATACAAAACTGCATTATCATTTTTAACTGTTAAGACACTAAATACATAAATATGTTAAGTAGACTTTACCTTGATTGTGTTTTAATAATGCACATGTGTAATATATTTATGTAGGAAATTAAGCTTAATGAATGTAAATAGTTTTGGAAACAGTCCTGCCAAAAACATTTGAGAAGGAAGCTTTAAGTTCTATAGTGTTTAAAAATAGTTCTCCTGACCTTTTCTTCAAGAGCACTCATTGCTCTGTTACTTTTGGAACAGGGATTAGGACTTTGACAAGGAATGGCCTTATGACAGTAGTGTGCATTTTCATGTTCTGTAAAAAGTCATCAGTTTTGCCAAGATTGAGCTTCTGATGAAACACAGCAGGCACATACTGAGATTACTTTCTAAAGAATATTCTTTATTCTAGAAATGCTCTGACATGTCAGGTCCTAGCAGTGACTAGATTATGCATATGTTGATCCCCTTGTGGCTAATATTTCTGGCTGGCTTGTGAATGTACAGTTTCTCCAGAGACTGTATGACACCCTCTGGAACTGGAGGGTAAACCCAGACTACCTTTCAGAGTTGCGGGTCTAAGCCTTAGTGCAGGCTGAACTGGGAATCAGCACTATACAGGTAACCTGCTTCATGTGCTCTTGATGCCTTTCAACTGCTGTGGGAAATCTATGTGAAGAAGGTGAACAGTTAGCATGGGTGGGAGAAGAAGCTTGGACCAGGGAAAGA